CATCTCATAGGTAGAGCCAGCACATATTTCTGTTTGCTTGAATTATGTCAAATTCAGCAGCAGATTTTATGGATCTTAAAAAAAAAGAAACGAACAAGCCTCCACTTTTTTAAACAAAAAGCAGGCAAATAATTAATATATGTGTCTAATTTTTTTCTGTCATGGCTTATTACACATTGATGTCAGGCCTACAGAGCCACAAAAACTTCACCATGAAGGATTTCTTCAAGATGCTTTCCTCCTTTGCCATCTCCTTTCCACCTTTCTCTCCTCCTCCTCCTCCTCCTCCTCCTCCCCCTATCTCTTTCTCTAACAAAAAGGCTATTAATAGAACACCCTGCTCTCTCTTTTAAACTGCAGGGAGCATATACCGTGCACTTAAAGGGAGGCAGAAGCTGAAGATACCAGGAGGCGTTTGAAAATGTCCTCTACACTGCCCGTGGCTACAAAGACGCTGGCTGTCCTAAGAATAACAACAAAGAGGCCTTTGATCGATTCATGGCATTTTGTATCAGCACAGATGCTCTTCAGCTAAAATTAGCTCCCCAAATCATTTGCAGACTAAATACCTCGCAAACATTGTTATGTGAGGGAGAAAAAGGATGGATTAACATCTGAAAAACACCTCCACTTGCGATACCTTCATATTAGATGCAACAATAAAAAATAAAAAAAATCACGTTATTTTAGATGAAAAAAGTGACACACAATAAACACACTAAACACATTTTCAGTTGAATTATTATTGGCTTCATTATTGATATTACTTTTTCAGGGTTATGATCATTTGGAAGGAATATATGCATTTTAATTTCACATGTTTTTCTTGTCCATAGATTGTCCTTTTTGTTGTAAAGTGCAGATAATACTATGTTTTGAACCCAGACTTCACATACATTATATAGTACATGGTTTTTGCTCCATCATCCATTGGTTAATATTTACATTATTCTCTCACATTTCATTTCATAGAAAGAAATTCAATTATTCACTGTACCAACTCTGATGGATATTTTCAGGCCTCTATGATACGGGGAGGATGGGGGTGAGGTGAACAACTGTACATATTGTTTCAGTGGATGCCACACTATCAGGCTCTGGGGTCAAATGAAAAGAAAAACAAAAAAAAAAAAATCTCAAACACACACATGCATACAGATTGCATATTGATCGTCTTGTTTCCCGTATGTATGAGTTTTTTATAGGAGCCTTCTGGCAAAGAGCTGACACTGCAGTTCAAACAAACCCAAAGCTCAGAAAGCTGATATTCACATTCAGCTAATGCGTGAGTGTTTGACGTACAGCAGCAGAATATTGCCAAGTGTTTCACTTTTGCTCTAAGGTTCCTTTAAAATGCTCTGTCAGCTCAATGTGTCACCGTGGAATTGGTATCTGATGAAACATAAAGAATCTGTACTTAGACCTTCTTCTCCCCCGAAAACTACAAGCTAATAATCAATCTATGCATAGATTTCTCAGTGTATTCACTGTTGGGCACCCTTCTAATGGAGTGAACTTGCTGGTGGGTCCCTCAGCAGGTGAGAGATGGTATTCTTAGAGGCTGTGGTGCTTCCAATAAAGCAATACAACATCTTTTTGAATTGACTTTGTTTCCACTGAATAAAAACATTATGCAGATTAAATCTGCAGGTATACAGATGAGGATGATTCTACTTGTCTTTGTGCTTTAAGCAGAAATAATCATTGATATTCAACTACAACATTGTGAACTCCGGTATGTGAGTTGCTACAGTGAATTTGGCTGAGGTACAGTAACATGCCCAATGTGAAATAGAACAGATAAATGTTAGTGTGTAACATTTATCATAAATTCCTGTCCAAAGAAATGGAATGAAGACAATAAGTTACAATGCATTTGCATGCATAGACAAATATTTTTGGTCAGACTGTGAGTGTTTGTTTTCTTTCCTTCTTTCTTTTTTCCCCACATACACAGATATGCAAATGGCTGTTGCATAAATGCAGCTGTACAACCAGGCCAAGACACTGACATTCAGTGGTTCTCTCTCTTTCGCACTCTCTCATACACATAAACAACCATACACGCACACACACACACCTCCAATCTGCGCACACCCCAGTCAATACTCAACTGATGACCATAAGATCTCGGTTAGACTGTTAAGGTCCATAAAGGTTCATTCTCTTTTGTTTTCGTTTTTTCTTTAAAAAGAAAAAAAAAAGAAAAAAAGAAAAAAGCAACATCTTTGTTCTCCACACAGACCCCTCCACCAAAGGATAATGGAAATATTGCTAAACACCTATTTAATCTGGTCCTACCTCGAGTGGCTGACCATTTTAACATCTTACTCCACCTTCAAGCTACTCCTGTAAAAGCATCACATATAACTGATCCAGTTTACTTGCTTAAATTCTCTGGAAACCTTTTCACGATACATGAAAGCAAACATTTGGACAGAGAGACGACTTCAGAAGCCTCATGTCAGGCAGTTGGACGAGGCATCCTGAGCACATATTGGCAGCGATGGCGTTAAAACATTTTGCTACTGCAGGTTGAGACTGCAGTGAGCAGAATGAGACCCTAAGAATAAAGATGTACATCCTGGTATGACAGAACTCATCCGAGACAGTACTTGCTACAGACCTTCTCCTAATCCATCACCTTTCTAATTACATAAGACATCTGTGAGAAGATGTAGAAAGGCAAGAGACTCAGGAGGGAAGTCAGAGGACCCCTAGGTTAGACAATATCTGCTACACTGCTGCTAATTATCACTTCCCATATTGATGTTACTGCCTTTGACGTTTACCTTGGCAGTGTTGAGCGAACGGTGGAAAATCTTTGCTGGACACAATTCCTAGAATCAGAACCTAATTCACATTTGATGCCAACTTTTGAAGACAGACTGAGCTTCTGGCATCAGAGACTTCTCAGAGGACAGCCACACTCCTTTAAAATCCTGACCAATTTAGCGCCAGTGAAAGCTTTCTGATAAAAGATCCTGGTAAGGGATGACAGTTTTGAACAACGCCCCGCCTTTCAACAACTACTTCACAGAGGGCAGTTTGGAATTAAGTGAAGCAAACATCTAGTATTCAAATCGGGTGTCAGGTTTTTCTAAAAACTCACCAGTAAAGAAAATGCTTTTGAAATGGCTAGTGAGAGTGTGTCTTTGGCACTCTGAACAGGCTCTGAAACAGAAGAACAACAGTGCTCAGAAAAATTCATATTATCATTAAAATGAAAACATGGCAATGATCTGCACATTGTGGAAAGGCTCTTGCTTTCTCTTAAACATTGCTATTTCATGTTTTTAATTCTCTGATAAAAGTATATGCGTACTGTATATGTGTTCTGTCTGTATACATATATTGTTTTATATATAAGAAATAAATATGTCTATTGTAGTAATTATACTTTTTTTGTTTTCAACGCTTCTTCTTTGAGTTTAAATGCATGCTAGGAATGTTTTTGAGGTCATGCAACACTAGGAGAGTAGCGTAAACCCAGATAAAAGGCAGTTCAAGGGGAAGCAATTTTCTATACACGAGTTCTTAAAAGTTACTATTTTGATCATGAGGACGTGATCATGTGACAAACCTGTGAAAGAGACAGCACTGCAAGTCTATCACATCTGCAAGTAGGATTAATGTCCAAAACTAGAGTGTGAGTTTTACGCCCCAAATCACAGCTCAGTTTACAGCGACCTGGCAAAATTTTAAAATGGCAATGACTTCTACATGGAATGTTAATACTGACGAGGATGCCGCACCCCGTTAAGTGTGGGATTTGGCCTTATGATTATTCCTTAAGAAATCCTCTAACATACAGCTTTAGGTTCTTGAAACAGCTACCTGCAGGCATCCTTTTAAAAGTGTGGATTTGTACAGAAGGCAGTGTACAGACAAATATACAGTGGTGTGTAATGAAGCAAGTGGCAGTTGAGAAACAAGTGGAAATTCTCATTTAGATAAAAATGTCATGCAATTATCTACTGACTAGGTTTACTACTAACAGCACCTACCTACCTATTGGCTATCAGTTAAGTCACAGTTAAGCTACCTATCTATATGAATAAGTACCGTTATGTGTGAAACCGTGAAAAACAAAACAAGAAGAAACATTCAAGTTGTCCTCAAAGCTCTGCAGTAAGACCAGCTTGGGTGAATGGAGGGGGGAAAGCTTGCATTGCAATACATACAGTACATGTAAGACCAAAGCAGTGAAAATTCAAGGCCATTCTCAGTCATTCATCAGATACTGATGTCTACTGGGAAAAAAGGTGTCAAACCATAAGCTTAGCACTGATGGCTGTCATTCATCCTTGAAATAACGTGGTGTACTTAACCACCGACCTCGTCACAAGTCACCCACAGGCCATATCAGCGCCGGAGTAGGCTCGCTTTATGCTCACACATCCTTTTTTATCTCTAAATGGTGTAGCATAAGACAGTTTTGTTTCATTGGCTCCAGGAAGCAGCATATGCAGCGCGCGAGTAGGGCTCTTCAGAAAAGCGCATGGCAGAGCAGTGTACCTTGGGAAATGAGGGACCAAGGAACAGGGGACTAAAGCAGGGCTTGTGTCGTGTTACTTTTTTTCTTTTTGTAAGCACTTTTTTTTCTCACTGTGTTTCCTCCTTTTTTCTTTTCTTTTTGTGCACTACTGTCGGCTACTGTTGTGAGCAAGAATTTTGTAGGTATTACTATTTTTTTTTTTAAAAAAACAACAAAAAAACAGCCACACAGACAAAGCCAACTCCATGCAGAAATGCAAAATTTTGAAATTTGACATTTTTCTGAAGTTTTAAGGGCAAGTTGTGAGGAGTGAAGACGAGATGAGCGCAGGAGGAGTGAATGATATTTGTAACAATTTTTTTCAGTCAATCATCATCAACATCCTGAATTCTATTGCCTTGATTTTCTCCAGCACATGTAAGGTGGGAGGGTGTACACCTGTCCCATCCAGTTGCTCAGCTCCACATTTCCCGCTGTGACGGGGAGGGAAAACACCAGCTGACTACACGTCTGTGAGCATTTTGGTGATGTTTACATAGTTTGTGTTAGCCAGCGTGCAGTTGGCTGTCTTAAGGTTCTCCTCCTGAAAGTCCTCGTTGCTGTTGTTCACAGCCTCCTGGATCTCCATGTAGTCCGATTTACTGATGGTGGAGCCACTCCGGCTCTTCTTCAGCTCCTCGGCTGAATCGGCTTTGGGCACGTTGACCTGCAGATACTGTGCCTGCTCTTCACCTTCAGTCTCACGGTGATAGAAGTAGTTAAAGTTGGACACAATGACAGGCACGGGCAAGGCAATGGTCAGCACACCTGCAATGGCACAGAGGGAGCCCACGATCTTGCCACCAATTGTAGTTGGGACCATATCACCGTAGCCGACTGTTGTCATGGACACCACAGCCCACCAAAATGCGTCTGGGATGCTCTCAAACTGTGACTCAGGCTCATCTGCCTCAGCAAAGTAGACAGCGCTGGAGAACAGGATGACCCCTATGAAGAGGAAGAAAATGAGGAGGCCGAGCTCTCTCATGCTGGCTTTCAGGGTCTGACCCAAAATCTGAAGCCCCTTAGAGTGACGGGAGAGCTTGAAAATTCTGAAGACTCGCACTAAGCGTATGACCCTGAGAATGGCTAAAGACATGGCTTGCTGACCCGCTTGACCATCCTCTGGCCTGTCTGCTAGCTCTGTGCCGAGAGTGATGAAGTAAGGGATGATGGCAACAATATCAATAATGTTCATTATATTACCAAAAAAGCCTGCTTTGCTTGGGCAGGCGAAGAAGCGCACTAGAAACTCAAAGGAGAACCATATAATGCAAAGAGTCTCCAGGATAAAGAAGGGGTCAGTGAAGTAGGTGTTTGTGTATCTGATGATTGTGGTGTTGGTCTCAGGCGAAAAGACTGCAGCGTGAGACTTGTGCATTTCATCCTCATCGTTGCGGAAAATAGGGAGTGTCTCCAGGCAGAAGCTGACTATAGATATCAGGATGACCATGACAGAGATTATGGCAATAATCCTAGCAGGACCTGAGCTCTCTGGGTACTCAAACAGTAGCCACACCTGTCTCTGAAACTCATTGTCGGGAAGAGGGCGCTCCTCCTCCTTGATGAAACCCTCGTCTTCGCGGAACATCTCGATGGCCTCCTCGCCCAGCTCATAAAAGCGAATCTCCTCTGAGAAAATATCTAAGGTGACATTGACCGGCCTTCTTAGCCGGCCTCCTGATTGGTAATAATACAATATGGCATCAAAGCTGGGTCTGTTCCTGTCGAAAAAGTACTCATTCCTTAGTGGGTCAAAGTACCGCATCCTCTTTTTGGGGTCCCCCAGCAGAGTCTCTGGGAACTGGGAGAGGGTTTTGAGTTGTGTCTCAAAGCGCAGCCCTGAGATGTTGATGACCACCCTCTCACAACACTCATGGTCGGCCTCTGGGTCGTAGTCCTGCGGGTGCCCCGGGTGTGCAGCCGCCTCATCAGAGGGGTCGCCTGTGGCAACAGTCATTCTGCAGGGGGAGGAGGCCTGCACTTTTCAGTGAGTCTGGGTCCTGCAGCCTGGAGAACTGCAGGCAGGGGCCAGGAGAGGGAGGGGGCTCAACACTGTAAAGACCTGACGGCCACAGGATGTCACCTAGGATCTGACTGCATGTAGAACAGATAAAGCAAAGACAGACAGCAAGGTCAGGTAAACCTGAGACATGATTCAGCACTCAATACTTCTTCTGTTTAGCACAGAAATATATCGGTAATTAGCCTAAGCCTGAAGATCAAACAACTCAAAAACTGAGGAAAATGAAACCACCCTCTAAAAAAACATCAAAAGATTTGACATGAATAATGTAAAGTTACGCTGTTGTGAGAAAGCAGTCAGCACTAAAATGAATCAGCTCATGGAAACTTGAGGCTGACACTCCTGCTCCTGACTTCGGAAAATTAATATGCAAATAAGCAGACCGCCTTGCATATAAATTGCTTCAATGCAGGTAAACTCGGGCTAGCAGGCAAATAAAACGCACAGGAGCTCATAAATTAGGACACTGATCTGCTGCAATGGACAATATCTGCTGAAATGAATGGGACTACCTTTTTTTCAGTGAAGCCATGCATGAATATGGCAATGCAGCAGACACCAAATTCATACAGACAGCATCCTGTCTAGAATATCATAGAAAAGCACTGCAGTCTAAACACAAATATATGAGGCGCTTTTCAGATTGACTGTTGCACCAAACACATTTATAATTGGCTCATATGAACTGACTTCAGGTTAGTTTTGATGGAGCATTTTAGCCCTGAAATGGTGCCTGTCTCTGAAATATTAAAAAACATCTATAAATAATTTATCCATAGAAGGAAATAGGTTCCAAGAGAAGGGAAAAAAAAAACTGTATCTCTCGTCTGCATCATCTCCACTCACAAAGTGGGAGGACAGGTTTTTTTTTTTAACCAAATAAAAACCTTTATGAAACATACAGAAAACATATAACTGCAGGTTTGCTGGTCATTATCGCGTCTGCTACTGAAATGCAAATCAGTGCATTAACTACAAAACGCCACGATTCGTAATTACATTGAATCCACCAGTAGATGATAGGTAGAGCTGCTTTATCTGAATTTCATACATACCTGCAGACATATTTTTCATATGTGGATGTGAGTTGATGCTCCCGCTGGAATCAGAAAGGTGAAAAAACCAGCTGCGACGATCAGGTCTTGTGTCTTTAGAGCAGGTAAGGGGGGGAAAAAAATCATGAATCTCCAATTTGGGACAGTGGTCGATGATATTCAGCTCATGTTGTCTGCAGCATCCTTGCCGTGTACACCGGGTACAGTATGTGCGGGTGTGTCCTCGCTTTGCCCTCCCCGACTCCTTTCCTCCGGGTAGGCTGTCGTGGGATGGCGATTGGCAAAAAAAAAAAAAAAAAGGGAGGAGGGAACCGATCAAGGAGGTGCTGCCGGTGCTTCCCTTAATAACCAAAGGTGCTGGGATCAGCAGAATGATCTGCCTCCACTGTTCCCCTCCGCGACCGGCGAGCCTGTTGTGACGAGCTGCTGGCCTCAGACAGCCGCAAAGGTAAATAAGAGTCCTGGTAAGGTGCTCAGAGAGGCAACATCTGCAAAGAGAGCGGGGGTTTAAAAAAAAAAAAAACGGGGCGAGGCGGCGAGGAGGAGGAAGAAGAGCGCTTAAAAATATAATCTTATTACCCAAGATTTAATAATTGGACGCGTTGTGGGATGCATCAATAATCTTTTCATTTCAGTGTGGGAATAAATCTGCTGCTCAGAAAATGTAATCTATTCATGCGTCACCCGGCCCCAAATTTACATTTTCCTTTTTTTTTTTCTTTTTTTTTTGATTTAGTCATGCACCACATAAACCAGCATTTCCACAAGATTCCTGGGTCTGAGCTGCAGATCTTTGCTCAGGCGGAGTCAAGTGCGTCCCAACGTTCAGGCGCACAGCTCCTCAGTCTCCTAATAGCCTTCATGGTGAGCAGAGCCGCGTCTTCAGACACTGACTTGAAACGACATGCATGAAAGAATCGCCTCTACGTAGTGGGCAGCAAGATTATGCAATTTCACTGAGCCAGAACCCCCCTCTCAACCCCACCTCACCCCACCTCACCCCACCCCACGCACACGCATGAACATACATATAAAGCGGCCTTTTATTGGCCCCTGCACAGCTCGGCAGAAGGAGGTGAGAGCTTTTGGGGGGGGGGGTTGTTTTTTTTTTTGGTAGGTGCAAGAAACATTTCAGGGTGGAATATCTCTGTCGTCAGCCTGGGCCGCAGGGCTGGTATATAAAGCTTAGTCAAACCTGCAGTCGGGCATTGCTATGCATACCAAGAGACGTGCTGGTGATGGAGAAGGCAAGGGCGGAAAAACGCGCTCCCCATCCGCACTGTAGCTTAACACTACTTACCTTATCTGCAGTGTAGGCAATTTAAAGGGGTACACAACTAAAGCACTGTTCAGCAGCACTGCTGATAATCAGACGATTGCATGTTTTTTGAACTGTACAGCCAAAATTTTAGACAAAAGAAAAGTCTGCTTTGTCTACATTACAGTTTGGGAAGGTTTTTCATTGCAGCATTCTGTCACTCTGTGGGTGTGATTTTGCAATATATGTTTGTTCAGTAGCATTGTTCCAGCAACAATCCAAAATGCATGTTTAAGGAGACACTTCTGTCATTGTGGTGATTGTGGTCATCTAAGGTCTCTCGTTTTTCAGCTTTATTAACACGAACAGTAGCAACAACAATCATGCGTTCATTTTCTGCCTTTTTATATTGTTTTTTTTTTTCATAGCAGTTCTACTTGTAATATTTCCTGGCAACAAGCTTCATGAATAATAGAGAGGAGGGGGACAAAAATAGAGCAAAACCTCCATCATTGTACTCTGCTATATTCAGAATGAAGAGCAAACTGATCAATATTAAATCCTTTCATCGCTATCGACACTGGAGCTAGGAATGAAAGCGCTGTGGCCAGAAGTGACCTCCGCAGAAGCCAAAGGTCAGCGGGAATCCCTCGGTCGGTGGAGGCAAAGGAGGTGAACAAGGAGAAATGGGAGGGGGATGGGGACGACAGCGGGATGATTTGTGTGAGACTCGGCTTTGCCAAGGTTGCTCCTGGCAGACCTGAGAGCATCATGGCTCCCAACCTCGTCCCTTCTGTCTGTCTGCCTGCCTCAGCCTGCCTGCCTGGCTGCTGCCACACAAGCGGATACCTCTCACTATCTCTTAATGGCTTTCCCAGGTTCCTCATGACAGCACAGCCATTATTTATGAGCCAGGGGCCCGTTACAAAGACTGGTAATGCAGGCTCTAAAGCTCAGTTCACTTTGCATTAGGTGGCTCGCTTTAATTAAAAGCGAAGGGTCCCAGCACTTTAAATGCTCTGCGTGCTTTAATCATATGGGGACATTAAAATGGTTGGCTGTGCAAGTTGGCAGATGAGAGTGTCAACAATGAATTTGCTTCCAAGAGGTATTGATTTCAGGACTTATCCTCATCTCCATCAGATGTTGTTTTGGCACAGGGACAGACAGCAGAGAAAATGAACTTGAGAGCTAAGACACTGAAGGGTCATTGTCACTGATCCATTAGATGGATGACAGGTGTTCTCTTCACGTGCAGTTGAGCCAAACATTTTTTTTTCTGCTCCTGTTTTATTCATTTTAAAAGACCAAAATATTTAGGTCAATTGCCTTCTAATTACATGCAATGAGGAGGGTATGGTTTCCTAATTGTTGCTCTGTTTGTGTTATTTAAACACAAAGTTACTCTACCTACTTCATCAGAAACACTGACATTTCAGTGCGATCTGACTATTTGGGTTTACGTTCATTCACAGAAAATTTCAGCAGATTCAACAGAGTTTTGGTACAGAGTCTGGTCATGTAATGACAGTTTTACAGTGCTATACTTAAAAATGTGCTTTCTACGTTTAACAAATTAAGGAAACCTCCCTCGGTGAATGTTGTATAAGCAGAAGCAGCTCTCCAAGACATAAAAAGTATACAACTGGAGAGTTTTTCTACTTTTTGGTTCATTGTAGAGACAAAAAGTGCAGCTTTAGGTGAGAGACAAGGATACGACACTCAGGAAAGAATCCCAGTATGAACTGGGCAAGTCATGAATAAAAATTATGCATCCAAATTTGCAACCAGGATTTCTCAAATCTGTGGAGTTATGATTTACACCAGGAGACAGCAGATCAAATGTTAAGTGAACCAGACAACAGATCTGACCAGACAATTGATTGCAGCTTTAATTTGGAATGTTTCTATGCTAACAACTGAATTTTAGTGCTGTTGCTGTTTTTGATTTTGACAAACATAAACATATATTTTACAAAACCCTTCTTTCATTTCACAGAATAAGACAAAGCTTTGTTCTCCCACACATGAAATGAGCCTAAAAAGCCCTAGTTTTCCCTTTTAAAAGTTTTCAGATCGGTTGGTAGCTTCAAGAAATACTAGAAAATGAGTTATAATCAAGCTGACACATAATGTATGTTTATTAATGTGGAATGTCAGGGCTGTTTAGCTCATGCAGTCCCTGGAGTGCAATGGTGTCTGTATGGACAGTGGAGGTCTACTGTGCCTCCTTGCTCCTTGATACTGCATTGCAGCAGCCACAGGTTTCCAACACACACACACACACACACACACACACACACACACACACACACTGACACACACACTGTATGGTCCAAATTCCTCCATGATTCACATTTAAGATCCTTCTCTCTCTGTAACAAGCACAGTAATAGTCAACATAATGTGATAAGACGGAACAGATGAGCTCTGCATATCATGTTCACTCTTGGATTTTCTGCTGCATTAATACAGATTTTCTGCTCCTAGATATGATGATGCAACACTCTCCTGTGTATAATTCTTCCTTAGCAAATTCTCTCATGCAAAATCCTCGCCATTTTGATCAAGAATCCTACAATGAACTCATCTCTCCCTATTCAATCTGGCATTTTTTTGAC